ACTTGTGTATGTCCTTTCCAGCTCGATTGCAATTAGTTACTCACAGCGTCGCTGACCGATACGCTGCTAGCCCAGTCACAGGCATTCCGTTGAGTATCCCATCCGGAAAAGAACTCGGCATGACTTCTGGCATCAGTTGCTCGAAGCCGTACCCCTCGATCATGCCATCCATGAGCGGTGGCATGAACGGTGCTTGACCCATGCTCATCTTACGACTGTCGCCGTAGGATGATAACGGAGACCCTTTGACCGTGGACGACGGATCATTGCATTCCGCACTGCTACATCGCCGCTTGAACTCGGCGACCATGCACGAAAACCGGTATGCGATGTGGTCTTCGTTGGGGGAGAGATGCAGCAGGAACATCTGCACCTGCTCGATGAGTGGGTCCATAAGGTTGAAGTCGCACAGGTTCAGAGCAGCGTAGCCGACAATGAAGTAGACCTGGTCGACAAGGCTCAACGCGGTAGAGTACCGGATCTGGAGGAACCGCGATATAATCAGACGTGAGGTTTGCAGAACCTCAGATGCGAGCCTGTCGGATCTGGGCTGAAGCCTCATTGCTGTGCGGTGAAGGAGTGTCTGGCAGAACCAAAGGCTCAGCTCCAATGTGGAACTTTCGCCGGCTGTTTCTCTCGTCAGTGGTAGTCCCCGGGAGACACTGGCAGGCTTCTTACAGAAAAGGTGAGCCCACTCCCTCTTCCATCGCTCGATTTCCTCATAGTCAAGGTCCGCTAGCCGCATTCGACTGCTACTGCTCTGGAGCCGCAATGTAATCAAATAGAGCTGTATTTCTGCGACAACCTTGGCGTCTTCCAGGGTTGCTGCTGGGTGCTCCAGTATCCGTGGGCAGTGATCAAGGTACCTCTGCTGGATATGGAATGGACGCGCATTGCCAACCGCAAAACTAAGGCTTGTTAGCTATATTGGGGACTGGAGGTATCAGGTGGAACCCACTGTAGCTGTGTCAAGCAATACGTATTCCATAGCCGCAGCTGCGCAGCCGTTTCATTGTCCACCACGACTTCCGAGGGCGCATAGTTGATGAATTCAAGCGCGATAATCGCATGGTTGATTGAGATGCCACTCAACAGCCAGCTGTCCATGGGTGGCTCTTTCTGGGCGGTTGCCGGCCAGAGACAGAGAAGTGCAAGTGCTTGGAGCGTCTCATACTTCAGGGGAGGTTTCTCCCACAAGATATTGACTACCGCATGTCGCACTTGAAGATATAGAGCGTGCACAGCAGACGCTGGTATCCCCGGGACATAGCGTGAAGCTAGAAGGCATGCAGTATTATACAGTAGAGAGTCGGGGGCTTTCATGTCATTGTGGATATCGGAGAGATTGTAAATGGAAACGCAGGCACCGAAGTGATCGACAAACCTGAATTGCGCCAAGTATTAGCAGCTATCTTGGTAATTGGCTATCAGGTATGCTCATACGTTTGCAACAATTTGAGGGATAGTTTGGAGTCGATAGCGCCCTTGGCGGCACCGTCACTGGAGAGAGGAGAGTCAACGGGGGAAGTCTCTGCTTCTCCGAAGAAGTCGGACTGGAGGTCCTGAATGAGGCGAACGGGCTTAGGCAGGAAGGGAGACGACGGGCTTCCCTCCATGGAGGCAGTATCATCCGTCATGATACTTTTTGTCAAGTGCGGAACCGAAGTATTTGCGAAACCTGGGGAGTGATCTAACATCTGCCGCATCATGCCCGTCATCTCCCTCATGGACCGTTCTAGGGAGGTGAGGCGCTCCTCAATGGAGGGAATTGCCGAGGTGGCGTCTGGCCACATCGCAGCACTGTCTTGGAACCGATCGGTCGTTTCTGGCAGCTTACAATCGATCCTACAGATATTGTGGACTGTCAGCGAAGTTTGGACAGTTACACTTCACGACTAATTTCATGTCGCGCCCAGAAGGGCAAACAAAGTTCAACTGGCAGGTACGAGTCACTACTGACCTTAGAGATAGACAGCGACGGCACGCATGACCGCGTGGATCTAGATCACATCTTGTTTTAAGCTTCCGACATGTGTGACAGGCAGTCATGGATCGTCGTATCCGGCCTTTCGGACGAGCTGTGTCGGAATGAGGAGCTAGTCGCCTGCCATCCTCGGCAACGTCCAAGCTCTTGTGCTCCCATGAAGAAGGGGTCTCGTATTTGATCTCGTCCACGGTGCGAGTCATGTCATCAAACAAAGTCCAGTTTGGACCAATTGATGCAGGCAATTTGGAGAGTAGTGTAGAATAAAGCCAAGAGGGCAAAAGAGGCAAAAAAAGCAGTAGAATAGTTACTACGCGCAGGCCATCGAGGGGCGGGCAGGTGGAGAGACGAATAGTGCCTTTTAACAGTTGGCGGCCAACCCTGGAAATGGGATTGTGCTCGCCAGCTGGGAATTGACGAAATTGGCTTTGGTTAGATTGGTTATGGGTCCGTCCAGTCCGTTCTTGACCTGGGGTAGACGCTAAATGACGGCAGCACAGCGGCCAGCCAATCCATGTCCCTGCAGGTCTTCTAGAAAGATAGAAACAATGGGTCGCGATACTGGCCAGTCACCCTGGCAGGGGGTCTGATTGGCATGCGCTATGGTATTCTCCGAGTCTCCGATGTAAACCGGATCGTAACTAAATCCCGCTGCTTCCAGGGAGGGGGGTTGGGACCAAAATGACGCCGGTGGAAAGTGGGAAATTAGTGAGGAACTGCCGCTGAAGTTTGGCGTTGATTTGCTCGGTTCCCTGCTTATCATGAAGATATGGATCGGGCGGAAGTCCAGGATAAGAAGGTCAGTAACTCGCGTGTATCTTTGGCTGATGGTCTTTTGGAACTGATGACGGCTTTTCTTTTTCCTCTTTTTTTTTAATAAAAAAATAATAATAATAAACAAAATTAGCTTTTTATGATCGCTCCTCCAATTTCTCCTCTCCCCTTATCCGTTCCACATTGATGGTCAGGCATGACAGCGGTTGGAGATTGACGGGGAGAAAGTAACCGCGTGAACCAAAGGAAAATCAAAAAGCGATCATGTAGATCTTAACGAGAAGGAGTTTCTCTCGACAAGACCATAGGCGACTGACCATAGGTAATTACCTTATAAGATTCCTCAAATGGTCTTTCTAGCACCAAGGAGAGAAAATTTTTCCTCTTGTCTCATCTCTACACTTGAACGGCGCATGCTGCAATGCGACATAGAATGCCTGCCCTGGCGGCTATCAACGGAATTATTGTTGGACTGTTAGCAAGGATGCACGTTGATATTATCACATCCATGTCTAGACCCGAAGCCAGAAAAGCATAATCTATGCAGGTCCAGCGTTTGTGGTGCCAGTGTGCCCAGGCGTCTTCCACAACAGCAGCCCGTGGGGGATCCTCAGGAATGATTCGAGCCACCAGGATCATGGCGGAGCTCCTACTGGTCCACTCCATCCCTGTTGTTATGTCCGTACAATGCTTTTAGATCATACCGTCTTTTTCCTCCTTATCACATCATTCCTTATCATATGTTCACAATCCGGGACGGAGGAGGCATATCGGTCCAACATTGGCTGTTGACCCATAATCGACAGGCACCCGCGTTAAGGTCAGCAGAAGTGGTGGACCCAGCACGCGGTGGAGCCCGGGTTGTCTGAGCAAGGCTTGTCTTCGGGGGAGTGGTCGAGCTCTCTGGGGCCTTCGACACAGATATCACATACACCACAGCGAATCAGCAACCCCTCATTAGTAACTAGTTTATTTCGCAAAACAGACTAGTATTGCAAGCTAGGCTTGCTTCAGGCCCAAATTTGCTGCTTCTTGGTTTTTGACAAGTGCAATGATGGGGCATGAATATTATTCCGTCTGTTCTTAAGCGTTGCAAGTAGTAGGGACACCCTGAACCTCGGCTTCACGGCCGTTAGGTCAATTTGGGAATGGGGCGCGTCGGCTCGCAGCGCCGGCTCCATAGTACAAGGCGCAATTTGGTTAGCGCTTGCCAATTACCGTTCCTCTCTCCTGCTCCAGGATTCCACTTCCAGGCGCCAGTAGGCAAGAAGGGCGGGTGAGGGGGTGGGAAAGTAAAATGGCAACCAACAGTGCGCTTTGTATCGGTGAATGGTGCCATTCCAAGTTGCTTTTTCCACCTTCCTGAGATGGTCCAGTGGGAAACTCTGATGGGAGTAACCAACCATCGGAGGTCGACGAGGCTAGCCGTGCGTTCCCCACTGGCCTGATAGAATGGTTGCATTCGGGAATGAGTGGCACATGTCTCACTTGTTAGTTATCATGAAATGATGTGTCAATGTTTTAACGTTATTAGCCATGAACACGCTCGACACTAGAGACCAACGATAGAGGCAATTTCTCCGTACTCCGGGCCACTTCATTGTTCATATTCTTTATTGGGAGGCATTTTGAGAATCGGATATCTCCGAATCACCAGGTCGTAGAAGTCTGTATCCCACCCTTATCGAAGCCGTACCTGCAGCTAAATTAAGTCAGCTTATTAAAATCACAATGAACTGTTCGGCGGCTTTGATTTCGGAAGGCCCAAGAAGGAACGCCGAGTATATCCTTGCTCACCTCATACGCTAAGATTTAGTAACCTCTGGATTCGTCTGTCCATGGCTATTCCCGGCTGCAGGTTAATATCGGATGGCGGTTCGGCCACTAGACACGTCGTCATCGGAAGACGTAGGCTCTCAGGCAGGATATTCAGGGGAGTTCAACGGCCAGACCATAATCCCTGCGAACATGGTTGATAGGAACAGACTGAGAGTTGACAATCGTAGGCATGTGTTCATGAGTATGCCGAGGAAGTAAAGGAGGGGAGCTGGTAGAAGATGAGGCAGCGACGATCCAGGAAGTTCTTTGTAGACACATGATCGCCGGTCACGCCTTAGGCTCAGTTTGTCTGTTTTGTCTGCTTTGCTCGTTGCCGGAAATCAGGTGGCGTTTTTTTCGCAGTCAATCAACTTTCCTCTGCATTTTCCTTCATCCAAAGTCACTTCTGCTCTCAATTGAAGCTTCACATCCACCAAGAAGAGCAGATGGTGTCCACTTTATATATGCCAATGCTACGGTTCCCCCTGGCCCCTTCCAAGTGCTCCATAACATGTCTGGAAATTAGGTACACAGAAACAACACCTAGCCACAGGTCAACTCCACGAGCGGCAACCGTCGGCTCAGCGGCAAGACACGGCATCGTGGCCGGAGTACCTGCCAAACTCCGTAGCTGAGGTTGCATAGGGGTTAATTACACCCTGGTCCGTCTTCAGAACCAAGCATTACTCCTTCCTCTCTCTCTCTCCGTTAGCGAAGACACGCTCCCCGAGCTCACATCCAAGCGTCTGCCATCACTGTATCCGCCTCCAGATGTGCGGGAAGTGGATAACCCGGGCACCCGGGATGACTCCACGGGCTTCGCGTCGATCACGCCGCAAATCTCGTACATCTGCGCTTGTCAAGTCAGGAATGATAATCGGACTATCAGATAGCCAAGCAAAGCTTGGCCTTCTGGTTGACGCGTGCAGAACAATGCCGAAGACCGGTGGGCCCGTGGTGTTTTAGTCGTACTGCACACTACCTTGTGCGAACCGGAATCTTGCCGATGACCCTGTGGGCTTCTAGCCAGTTCGAGAAGGTCCACAACGCCAGACACGTTCATTCATTGCAGAAACGTCGGACTACCGATCCGATACCGCTTCCAGATGGCCCCAGGAACGGGAGCGCAGGCTGCGTGCAGAATTGCTGCCCCGTGTCATGATCGATTGGTCCATCATGGGAGATTAGCCCAGATCCTATTCGTTGTCTTGTCCAGGATAGAAGTGGCCATGACCAGGCAGACTTGATGTATGATTGGCTATCCTTGGATTATGCTCATTTAGTCGAGAAGAACACATGGCCACTCATGTATCCCGGATTGAGGATGGGTCCATGCAATATCCGCGCTACTATGACACTGGGTAATCACTGATATGCCGTTGGCTCTTGAGAGTAACCCCAGACGGAGGCCTGCATATGCCCGGGGCCACTAACATCTATAGGATAGCAGGCTTTGCTCGTCAGTCGCCCTATCAACTGCTGATACCTTCCCGGGTGGCACCGAGCATTCCCGGGTACCGGTAGCGCTATTGGACCCTGGCAATTGTTTCCACAGTGTCAACCGGATGTGCATACCCGTTAGGAGTGAAGTGGCGCCAATATAATATTCAGCAGCATCTGGAACTATAGTCGGCCAGAGTCTATCCCATTTTCGTGGCCGGTCCGAGTGAGCTATAGTGGCGCTTACGATCTTACCCGGTACCTGATGCCCGCAAGCGATAGGGACACAGGTATGCGCCGTAGTGATATGATAAGCTTAGCTTCACGGTTCGTGTGTGCTCGGATCGAGCTCTTTACATTTCACATGCCCAAGCCATAGCTAATTAGCCCAGAATCTGTCACCAACATGGCATGTGATACAAACACTCTTTTTTACACCAAGCTTTCGTATGACGCAGGGTGTATGATTAACCATCGACATTCTAAACAGACAAAATCCATAATTAGTAGTAAAACTTGGCCCCTTTCGATATGACTATGATCTAAGAGAGGTACCTGTCTACTCCATAGCACCACTGATATTCCATATACACACCATACCAAGTGCCACCAATATCAAAACAGAACCAACCAAGACCTGTCTAACACCGAGTACTTATAGTTTGAGACCAAAAACAAAAGTCTTCATGTTATAATTTATTGATTGATTCCATATTATCTTAATACTACCATCACTGTTATCTCCCAATCACTTCAAAGTGACGATCTATCTAAATCTCCTTCAAACTACAAACTATCACTTTGAACGACATTCATTAATCACCCCAAACAAAGAACCATATCTCTGATACATTAAAAAAGCTTATACTACCAATCGATGAACCCGTCCAGTCCACTCTTCTCAGAATCTTCAAACGGACTAGTAAATAGTGCCTACGTAGCTCTCGAAACTCTCAAATAGTACGTACCAAACACACTCACATCCCATCATATGCAAGCTACTACATGGCATCCATATCTAAATAATTACTCGCAATAAATAATACCTTCGATTCTAATCCTTTCTCTCCTCTTTATCCACCAAGTCACCTCTTCAGACCAGGTAATCGGATGGGCAAATAATATCATTTACTATAACATTACTTTACTATACACATTTCCGATGAAGTCACGAACCTCTATATATCATTCCAACTACTGTGAACACTTATCCGAATCAGGAACCCTAATAGTATCATCCCCTCGGTCATTCTAATCAGGTCAAACATACTACTACATACAATCATATCCAACTACTTACTATCCCTATCCGATGGAAATATATATTCAAGAAGGCAAGCAGAATGCGAACGTAAGCCTAAGTATCCTCTCCTCGCTAGCTAGCTAGCTAACTCAGGAACATCGACTCTGCCATCAAGAATAGTGCCTATATAATGGGTCACATTCAGCCAGGCAATAGTATGAATTAGTAGTCCATATCAGGCAGATTGATATCAGAGTAAGGGAAGGGTAGTGAAAAGACGACATCCAGACAGACGTCTATCTAATCCACCATCAACATGCTATATCACCACAGATAATAAGCTAACACAACTTCCATCTGGATGCCCAAATCTGACTTCGACTACAGCCGAAAGCGGGATGAGTTCGATGAATGGATCCCACAACCATCCCTACATAACAAACTCTCTTGGAACTCACATGAAACCGAACCACCACCATTTAGTTCCATTCCATTCCCTTTCCCCAAGCTCCCTCCCTCGCCCAAACATCTTCCACGTTACACAATACAAAACTGAAAAGAGGAAACCGTTGATCAAAACCTATCACTACTACGGAGTACTACTACCATCATGCCCATCCATCCATCCATCCCTTTGCATACCCCACACATACGTCCAAAGGGCCAGAACTACTGTAACTAGCTAGCTAGCTAGCTAACTTTGCCAACAATAAAGTTTCCTGCCCAAAAAGCAAGAATCTCCTGTTGCCCCCCAAAAGAGGCAGAACTACATACCCTATAAGATCAAAATAACCCAGGAAACAAATCAAGGGAGACAAGAAGAAGAAGAAGAAACATCCACTAAACCCAATTCCATAATTTAGTGTCTGTTCAGGTTTAAAAAGTTGGTTTTGCGAAGTTAGCAAGGTAAAAAACCCTATTACCTCGTGTCTCAGTCGGATAAATGATCCAGCCTATGTGAGTCGCCTTAATGGTGGCCAACCATTTCTCATCACACAACATAAGCAATAACACGTAGGTCGTTGCCTGTTTGGGAATAGACATGAGGGGAGGGGGGGCGGTCCCAAGACTATTTACCATGGTATAGGCGCCAGCGCACGCATGCAAATGGGGAGAAATCAGCGATGCAGTAGTAGTAGCAGCAGAACCCTTGTATGATATCAGGAGGCAGGGAGTTAGTGGGAAATGAGGAGTAAACGCACAGGGCGCTGGATGAACCATGGTACCCATGCATTCCATGGCATGCGCCCGTAGGGCTAGGGTTGAACAAGAATGAGAAAGGAGAAGCAACTATTTAAATTCGAAAAAGGAAAAGGGGGCCAGCAAGATGCAATATGAATCTGTTGTCATACGTAGTAAGTTTAGAAAGGAGCTCCTCCACCATATCACATACAGATAGACAGGCAGGTAAGTAATGAACGAACTGCAGATCTAGCTTGCAGTTCGCCTCAGACATGTCGACATATGTATGCATTTATGTCGGTTTGGTATGGGGTATACGTACGCACATTGAGTGCATATACAACACACACAGACACACGACACTCAACCCCCACACCAGACCAGAGTCTGGGCAAGGATTCCAGCCAACGGATTGATCGCCTTGTATCAGTATGCCAAATCCCGAGTCCCCGGATTGCATTTGGGTACGAACACAAGCCACCGTGACTGACGTACATGCAAGTGGGTAGTGGCTAGCTCCCAGGATGCGAACTTGCATGACGGCCAACTAAACACGCCAGAGGGGGGGATGAGTTTTGTCCTCATCGGTGGTTATTTCCGCCCGATAAATGATCTCTCGGATTTCCGCAGCAAGTAAAAACTTACCATGAAGGGAGGGGAAAGGCCTGTCAGACCGTCAGGCAATGCAATTCAGGTGCCTAAATGCTCCTTTAGGCGCCGACGCCAGGCCTGTGGCTGGTGTGTGTGTGAGTGTGTGGCGAGGCGGTTCTGTAGGCATCGCGGTTCTTGCACGCAGTGGGGGTCTCCCAACCGGTTAATGCAGTTATAAAGCCGCGAGGAGTTCCTTACTGACTCACACCTTGCAGCGTGGAGATAATATCCACGGCCAGGGGGTGGGAAAAGTGATCCGCGGCATCCTGGCGGGGATGCTCGGTGATTTAAATCGTACAGCAGTCACAGAACCAACAATATTCAGCAAAGGGCACTAAATTATTGACCTTCAATGTCGATCCTCTCTCCTCATCCTAGGGAAAAGGGAGATCTGCCGCACCAGAGTGGGGTGCAGCTGGGTGGTTTCCAGGTTTTCGCTGCATCGATGGGTGAATACTTTGCGACAGGCTTGCAATCGGTCGGTCGCATGTACAGATACAGGAAGAACCTTCAAGTCCAGGGCGAGGGATGATGATAGGCCGGCTGACCTGCCGACCTGTCTTCATCTTCTGATCGGGGATCAGGGCTAGGACGGGTGTCATGCAATACCTCTTCGTATTTCTTCATGCCCATCTGCATCCCCTCGACCGTTGAGCTGTCGTGTCAAAGCAGGCCCTGACTCGAGCTGCGTTCCTGTCAAGGCACATCCTGTGTAGCATCCTCCCCCCTCCTCCAGTAGAATGCCGTTCATCCTTGATCCGAGCGACCCCCCCTCACTTTGAAAGGTGACATCCGGAGTACCTGGGATCCCCATGCGCGGCAGCCAGATTCACCGCCATGTGATAGATCGGATAGATCCTGGTTTCCAAATCGTTTCCCCTTCTCTCCCTCACCTCCTCCCCCGTGCTTCGTGCAGCTGGGGTCAAGCCCTGTGCCACACTCGACAAGCCTGATCTGCTTCTCCAATGGTCTCGGAGGCATGTTCCGCCCGTCCGCCTGTCTCTGGCTTGCAGGGATTTCCGTGCCGGTGACCGTTGGGAAAGAAAAAAGAGGGGCCCAAGAAGACCAGCCTCGAGTGTCTCCATGCAACAGTAACGCTGCGTGTGTGCGTGTGGCTCATGAGACCTGATGGACGGACAATGGGTCGGCCCCCTCCCTTTCAGTACGATTTGATACGGAGTCCAAGGGTCGACCTACGTACGCCCGCACAGACGTCCAAGATGACCTCCTCGGGTGATCCAGGATCCCAAGGCCGCCTTACCGCAAGAGCTGGCCGAATAGCAAAAAGCGCTCGCGCCCGTCTGAGAGTCCGAACACTTGACAAGCAGCAGCGCCCATCCAACGACGTCGAACGGCCTCCCTGCAACAACTGGGCTTGGACTATCCACGAGGCGCACTTCTCGGTAACTGGCACTTGGCGATCTAGCCGTCCCGACTGGCCGGAACCAAAATTTAGGCCTTTGTAGTTCTTTCTCATGACGTGTGACAGCACGCCTCCCGCCTATCCTTTCCGGCGCTCACCGCAAGGCTAGAGGCTATGAGTGGCC